AGGGATCATTGAATCGGTTACTAAACCCTGGCTGCAAAAAAAGCTGGAGAATGTATTTTCATTTTCAAAGTGAAAACTTTTGGCCATTCATTTCAAAGTAATGTCTTGAGAGTAAATGCAGTTTTGTTTTATTTTTAAATAAAGACATGTGAAAACAGTGTGTCAGCAGTGGTGGTTTTATATAAAAAATATTTCCACTGGCAAATCTGGATTGCAATCAAACTTCATAATTCAGTTCTGTTCCTGAGCAGAATATTTCTGTCAGGAGTAGTCTAAATTTACCGTCACCAGTCACATTTCAGCATGCTTCCAAGAACTGGCACGTTCAGAGTTGTTGGTGGGGGAGCTGTGAAAGTTAAAAGGAGAATAAGCCCATGTAGCCAACTCATCATGTATTGAAATGACAAAAGAATGTTTGACCTCAGGTTGCACAATGGAATTAGTTCAGAACTGTCCCCATTTTAGTCTCCAAAATGAAGCCTTTCATGTATATATAAAAATACATTTGCTTTCAGAATCTCAGTTTGTGGAAGCAAGATTCCAAACTTATTGAGTAGATGGTTCAAATTCTGATTGCATTTACTTCAAAAGAAAATCAACAACACATCCCATTATCTCACCAGAATGATTCTGGAAATGTTTAAGCATTGATAAATGTTGACTTTTCCTTTACTTTATTCTATTTGAAGCAAGCAGTTTTGCTATTTATTTATTTTTAATAAGCAAAAGTGACATAGTCTCAAGTAATATTTTTCCCCAGAAACTTCATGTCTTGAGTGAGTGACCTTGTGTCATTGCCATTACCAATGTGAAGACATTCATATAAAATCTTTATCTCAGATCAAAAGAGCAAACCCAAACTGGCTCCAGGATTGGTGCCCTCTGGAACAAGATATTTCCTGAGGGAAATAATGATTGGAGGAAGTTACTGGCCTTGGGCAAAACTTCCAGCCTTCAGATTTCCCAACCAGTCATCAACTTTGTTCTGTTTTGATCAGTATTTGTCAATTCATACTCTGCATATTCTCTTCATGTCTTCGATATTTTTTTTTTCTTGATGGACTGTATTTGCTGTGCATATTAACATCAGTTAGGAAGAAAGACATGTTCTGAAGCTTATAATATTTTATCTTAGGTTGTACTATTAATTATATGGACTTTTAAGTTTATTATCGTTGCTTGTCCTAAGGGGTGGTATTACTCATATTTTAATCTGCATTGCAATAACGTCCAAAGTCTGAATTAAGCTATCTGTTGCCTTTTGCTAGGCATTCTACAAAGATGATAGGAAACACCCACAGCCTCTTCTTACTGCTGACAGCTAAGGAGAACATATATTCTCAAGACAGTATTTGTAAATATGACTAAATTTAAAGCACATATAAAGGTCTGCTATAAACGTGGATAGTCTTATCTACTCAAAAAAAAATGTTCTTCATAGGTGTGGCCTTAAACGGTTAAATAAAAGCCAGTTATCTGTGGAAAGTTATTGAAAGCCACTTCTCTGGGAAATGACAAATATTTATTTAAAGGATTTTTGAGCATTGGTTGGTGTCCATTATTGATTTCACTGCATGTTCCTTTTCTAAAAGTCATTGAATGTATTTTCAATTATTACAAAGTTCTTGCAAGCAAAAGTTTTCCAAAGCAATATTAAAAGAACCCAAACAAACCTAATATAGTGTATTAACTAAAAGGCTACTGAGTAATATCATTTTACATTGACATATATTCTCAGGTACCTGAACACCTGAATTTTAATTTTGTGTGTCATTTCTCAACTTCATATACAGCAAGTAGAAGAATCTTATTTTTAAATATTAAATACTTTGCAGTGTATTAAGAATAGTATTTTCATCAACTGACGGAATCCTGCCAACGTTAGCAAGAAATTGAGACAAAGCTGTACAATCAAAAACTGGTCTGTTATAGTATATGCACTGGGAACATCTGCCCTCTGATTTGCTTTTTGCCTAATTGGTAGGGTTGACTGTCAGATTCAGCACACAAAATATAGCTGTCCAGTCACGATTATTTTAATTTCATATATAATGAGCCTTATGTACCATAACTTTACATCTTTAAATTTCAATTCTCTTCACCTCAGTTGCATTGCTGTAATGCAGACTAGCTCTTTCAACAGTCATGCTCAATATGCTCCTTATAAAATCCTGTCCTTGAAAAAACAGGGAGCAAAAATTATAGGTAGAATTTCTACACATAATTGAATTTCTTTGCAAAACTCTCATTGAATGTAACCAGGTAAGGATTTATCCCATGTTTTTCCTGTAAGTGTTGATTATGTGCAGCACAGTCTGACCACTATTGAAAATAATATTGTTCTTGAGATATATTCTTGTTTTCACAATATCAAACAGTCCTAGTCAATGAGTTACTCTGTTAACAGTTTTTCATCTTGGCTGGTCACTGAATAATTTGTTTTCAAGGCATATTAACAGTTTGTAAAAGGCTGACATGAAAATGTCAGCTTCATTGTGGTATCTGTCAAGGGTAAGTGTAGAACAGCTCAAAAAATAGTTTTCTCAGTTGTTAAACTTAGTTTTTAGGTTTAGTTATTAAGTTTAGTTTTATATAATTTGTAAATATGGTTCTTTCTTTGAGAATAAAAATATGTCAGTTTCCTCAGAAGTTAATTAAAACTACATAGGCAAACTATTGTGTTCACTAACAGATGGAGTATTGAATAAAAATGACTCTTATGAAGTCCTTCAAAATGAAATATATTCTCAGACATGTTGTAGCGTTCATATTTTAGAAATAGATAAGGATTTACTGATGAGTTAGAAGGGAAAAGGTGAATGATGTACATGATGTACATCACAAATAATGAAGTACAAATTAATCAGAATTTATTTATTTTTTACTTGTGCATTTATGAGAGCCAAGCTAACCTGAGTTAGCTTTCTTTCACATTCTGACAGAAGAAATTCATATTAACCTTTCAAAGATTAATAAATCCCACTGAAGTTCTCACTTAACTTCTGGATTGATTAATTGACTCTATGATTATAGGCAGAGACTAGGTGTCTAAATTCAGTTTTTCTTTAGACATTGAATTTCAGCTAAAATAAAGAACAATAACACTTTGTAAGACTATTCAGTTGAATATTTGTCTTTTCCAATAATAGAAAAAAAGGTACATTTCATTTCAATGAATTAAAGCACAATTTTTATAAAAGGATAGGAAGTACTGACGCAATAATTTATTTTTTTTTAGTGTATAAACAAACAGGAATGTTGGCTCCTTAACAATTCAATTCTGTCATGGTACAAGTGTAGACACTTTGACAGCAATGAAGGTGCTGACTTCCCTAAGTTCTTTCTGATCTTCTCTGTCCTCTAAAAATGCTGCATACGAAAACTCACCTTTAATCAATTGATGAGCAGATTGATTTGTTCCTACCCCTCCCCATACATGAAATGATCTTTCCAGAGAGCGGTAATTCAATAACTGGGTTAATTTCATCATTATCTCCTCCAAGTAGGGTGGCACAATATCACAGCTTTAAGGAGGAAACAAATCGTGAAAAAATACAGCTAGGGCTGTAGGATAAAAAGTACTAATGACCAACAATTTAAATAGTGCCACTGCATCCTTTGCAAAATTGGTGTCTTATTCATTCTTTGAAGTCTTGCCCAAGTCAATAGTTACTGAAAATAAATGCCTGAAGTATGTATCAATGAAAATGCCTCACCATGTCTCATTTTCCCGTTTAGCTTTTGCATAGCCATACCTACAAAGAAATGTATGGAATTTCACTGTAGAATGATGCTGCGACAAAGAATCATAACATCTCCCCCACCTTTTTTTTTGTTTTAATTTGAAAAAATCTTTAATGTTTCCTTTCTGTGTCATTCTGAACTTCCAAATTGTTATTGCTCTACTATAAGTCTTGTTGCTCATGCAAGAAATACATGTGCTGGCTTGCGTTATATAGGGCAATGTGAGAAGCTCCTTCCCTGCCGTTTCCATGCACACAACCACCTTACCTTTTGCAAAATTCTTTGATTGTGGATCAAAATGGAAAGGTTTTGTGAAATCATTTCACTGTCTGTGTCTGGAGAGACAGAAGAGAGGAGGAGACGGATTTCTTCTCTCTCATGGGATGTTCAGTTGCTCACAGACAGGACAGGCTAACCTTCAAAGGTTTATAGAAACTGATATTTTGTTTCTCACCTACTAAACAAGGAGTGGGAAAGGGAAAAGAGAAGGGAAAAGAGAGCGAACTGGAAGTTGGGAAGCTTCCCAGTGTCCTTTTCAGAGTTCTTTCTGTCATGGATATACTGTGTTTGGTCCTGAAGTCATAACCTAGGTCTACATTAGAAAAAAGTCTTCACTTACAAGCTGGTTACTTTTTGCTGTACACTCTTTAATCTAAAAATATCTCATACTGCAGTAAATGCTTTTGCTTTAAAAGGGGACAAAGTTCATAATAAAACTGTAATGAATTATATTTAACTTACTGTTATCTAATGTTGGATTATATTGGCATAAAATCAGAGGGAACTCACAAGCCTTTCTGCTATATTGCGTTACAGGGCACCCGAATATATTATGTAATTACAAAGTTAGTGAGCATGGCCTTTAGGGTAAGAGGAAGCCTTGGAACACAGTCTCTCACCTCTTGCTAGGCTTTTAATTCCTGCTACTCACAGAATTTAAGGATATTGGTTGGGCATGTAATAAAAGCAGAGACAAAATTTTGATTTTGAATCCATGCCTGAATCATAAAATTTACTTTTCTTCCTGCAAATACGGTGGGTTTGGCCTAACCGTGTTTGTAGTCAACACTGAAAGTTTTGGATTACAATAAAGTTTCCAAACTCTATTTCTTAAATCGTCTTTTGAACTAATCTCTTGCCTTGTTAGATATAATACTTACGCTTCTATTTTCCTGGGCAGTCTTGCTGAAAGAATGAGTCAATGCCCGCAGTCCTCCTTCCCACTGCTTACCTCTGTTGCTTCATCTTCTTTACAGGTCCCAGGACCTGCACATTGGTGCAGTGTAGAGCTGAACTCAGCTAAGAACCAAACAACTCGCAATACTCTGTGCTGTTCCTGAAGCAGACATGCGTGCTAAATATTCTTTCTGTTAAATGAGAAGAGTGTTGTGGCGTGAGAAAGCTACAAAATGCCTATTGCCCATGGGAAAATGAGTAATAATTCATTCTGCTGATATGTTACGGTTGAGCCTCTCTACCCCCAAACTGTAATTATGTGTTCCCGCGGATTCTCTTTTGCCATCTCTGATATTTCTCTAGCCAAGCTGTGAACTGATTCAGGAAACTACAATGACAGAAAATTAAAGCAGAAAAATGAAGAGTTTTCTTATGGTTTGACTCCATAAACAATCTCATTGTGGGGCTGGGTAAGTGATGGTGTTGGCTTAAAAGAGGGGTAAGGACAGGTCACTGGGAGCAGGGAGTGAGGGGAATAGGACATCCTTTTGATGTTAGGTGATTGTTACATCAACTTAGCTGCATTGTCCAGCTGCACCTTTGTCATTTTTTTCTGGGACTGAGAATACCAGAAGTAGGGGACTACTTGGCAAGCTGTGCATATGCAGAATTTAGAAACTGAAAAGAAAGGCAGCACAGAAGTTGAAGATGCAGATGTAAATGTAATCCTATGGAGAGACAGGTATCCTCAGGCACAGGTATGATAGGAGAGGAAAAATTGGAAGTCATGAGCAAGACAAAGAAAATCAGAAAGTAAGACCCAAAATGGCTTTTTTTCCATACTGAGTTTGGAGAAATAGAAGCTGGTAAGTTTCCTTCATAAATAAACATTCTTCTCTCAAAGAATATCTTGTATCATTCATTTCCTCTAATGAAAATAATCTCAAGCTCTGGCTAACTGCTTAAACCAAAGTGTTTATAAAGTTATTTCCATAATCTGCAAAAATTAGGCTGCACTGGTTATGTATTTTCTTAGTGTTGTTATAGAGTAGAAAAAGGTTTATTTTACAGACAGCCTGTCTCTAGCAGGGAAAGCTTGATGCAGAAGAACTGTACTGCAACTCAGTGCTAAGTACTTACTGTTACCAAGGGAGACTTTATCATTATAGAAATTATAAATCATGTTAAGCAAAAGCAGCAGTAATTATGGTTTTATTTGTGGGAATCAAGACATACAGTTATGAAGAAAAATGAGAGAGAGGGATTGGGTAGCTCATAATGGCTGACAACAAATTCATGATATATGTACGTAAAAAATGGCTGTTATACCTCAATGTCACTGCAGCCATCACATACCAAGCCAGAACTAAAGATACAGGTAAACATAGCATCTGCCTGGCTGTGCACAGCTGTAAAGAGCTATCAAAACCCAGCTGCAGCTTAGTGGCTCTCTCTCAAATCTTTCAGGAAGCAATTGCTAAATGCCTGTATTGACATCCCTTTTGACAATTGCCTAATCTCTTACAAGTTGTTGTTAAATGCTGCTTTATATCATCTTGTCACAGGCTGTCAGGGGGGAAAAGAGCATATTTTTCTAAGTCTAGTTCAGGTATAGTTTTTTCTCAAAGCCTCCTCTGCAGATTTGCTCCTCTCTCTTAGGTTTCAAAACCACCACCAATGGGGAGACCTTGCTAATATTTTAAATTCAGAGATATAATCTTGTCTAAATAAATCTATCTTACAAAATTTTCACTTGATCCCATACTTGCCATTGGACACCAGCATGAATTTTAATGGTCAGATAGATACTCACCTTCCTTCTTTAATTTTCAATACAGATATTGGAAGTCACAAAATACAGATTTATGTCTAAGACCTTGAATGAGCCAAAAGGGTGTTTGAATTTGGATTATGTTCCATTTTAGATTAGTAGGTCCAGGCAAGTTGCTGAGTCAAATTCTGAATTTCTAGTCACTTAAATTTGAAGTTGTTCATATCCAGGGTTGTTTTTAATATCTGCATGTTGCCTGACTCTCCTATATACACAGTAGCTTCTAACCTTATCCTCTTTTACCTAAATAACATCCCTCTCTTACAATAAGTACCAGAAAACTTTTTGTGGCAGCCTCACTTTTTACATAATATAACCAAATTAGAAGTTTTTCACAACTGTACTTTGCTTCATTATACTTATCTCTTCACTGTTTCAGACCTGAAAAGTGGTTCTGTGTACCAGGAAATGTCTGTCTTTTCTTCATTGTGCCAACCTAATATCACTGCTCCTTAAAAATATCTCATCTTGCTTACATATATAGGCATAGTCCAGTACTTAAAAGGAAATAACAGTTTAGGATATGCCTTATCATATTTGTCAGAAAGCTTTGTGGGTTTTTTTGTTTGGTTGTTTTTTGTTTTTTTTTTATCCTCAGCTGTCCTGCCTTGCTAATTTCTCTTCCACTGCAGGAATAAAATACGGGGTTACTTATCATGTTCCAGTTTGAGCCGTTTCTAACATGCACTAAAACTTCAAAATCACGCTAGCTTTATCTTTTCAGTGGGATTCTGGGGAAATAAAACTCAGAAAAAAACCCAACTAACCCCCAAACCCCAGAACCAAACCCCTCCTTTGATATTTGTAGAAAGACTAGTTTGCAAAATGACAAAGCATTCTGAGGAAAAAATATGCTTGTGGTATTAGCTAAAAATTTAATAACTCTGGCACACTGTGCATGATGTACCAGAAGTTGGTGGTAGAAAGGGTCCCTTTGATCTCAGCATCGAACAAATGGTAGTGCTGGTGATATTTATGATCTTCCCAGCTCTTAGAGCAGAGCATGAGCACAAACAAGATATTGATACTTTTATTGTTGTGGGTATTCAGAATTTCTGATTCTTTCACATTGGCAGAGCTTTGTAACAACAGGTTAAAAATGGCAGGACTGTAGATGTATATGTAACCCCAGAGACTGCCTGGAGCCAGCAGTTCATTTGCTTCTACTGGTACTCTACATTTTAACACAATAATCAGATTCAGCTCTAATTCAGACATGCTGACAGACGTGGGAGTGGCTGGAGTCAGAAACAGAAACGTGTCCTCTGCACCCTTGTAGCTAATCCAGTCAGTGTTTGGATTTTTAAGAGCTTTAAAACCAAGTTGTTAATAACCCTTCTGGCCTGAAAATGTCATTTTAAATCTTGGAAGGAGAACAGAACAACTCCCCAAACCTCAAACATTATGAATCTGTTCTTATAAAGTTCTTTTTCTCATGTGTCTGTCAGTTTGTTTGTTTTTATGGTTTCTTAATGATACAGTACACTGGAAAGGAACAGAATTAGTCAGGTTTTAGAAAGTGAGACCATTCATAAAATCCCTTTATAGGAAGCAAAAGTTTATAGAAGTTGAACTCATTCAAGTCAAGTAGGAAACTGGTATTGTCCTTTTGATTCTTTGTAGTGTAATGTTCCTCACAAAGATCCAAACCAGAGTTCCAGCCCTTGCTTTCTTCAGTCTGTGAGACCACTGAGTGTAAAACCACATTACAACACAGACTTGCTTTATGAAGAGTGTTTTTTAAATGCAGAGAGTGAAACTTACAGTTACTTAAAGCTTATAAGTGTATTTGCATATTTTGTCAAGAAATTTCTTATGTGTTTCTCTGTTCAGCATAAAATACTATACAGAGCAGGAGAAACCATACTGTTTTTAAAAGACTGGCTGATATGTATTTTAGGTTTTAAAAAAACACAAGCTTCAAGGAAAGATAGGAAGGATACAGGAAAAGTTCTGTTGAGCTGTCTGAAATGATGTTGATGTTTGTTTCTGTGTTTACAAAAACTAAACCTGAGTCTTAGAAAAAGAAAATTTAATTGGGAAAATGCTAAAGCAAATTCAATTTTTTATGTAGTAATTGGTGCATCTGTATCACAAAAAAGCAATTAGTCCTGGGACTGCTCTAATGCCATAAATTCTCTGTCTTGAGGGTCTAACACAATCATGTACGCTTTCTGTAAAAGAAGATTAATCAAAAGATCTTTAGAGACTTTTTTCTAGGCAGAGGTGTTCAAATATAGTCACTTTTTTTACTGGGAATCCTTCTCGGTAGAAACCAGAGGATTATTTCTTTTTCAGATGTCTGAATGTAAGAATGCTTTTCAGCTTTTGATAAACCAGGGAGAGAAGGAAGCGCAATAGCTCTGGGCACATTATCTTTCCCTTATGTGAAATTCTGTCTAAAAGAATTTGGGGATTAGGTTATTTTTACATTTTTCCAGGATTTCTAGATGTGTAACTACCTCACAGCAGCTCTAGCCCAGGTGCAACACCTGAAGACCTCAGATGTCTGCGTAGATCGTTCATCTACCATCTTACTGGTATAAGGCAAACTTATGATAGAAAATAACTTTAATATATCCCCAAAACATTGAATTTACAGGACAAGCAGACTTCATCAAAGTAGTGTAAGCACAGTAGATCCAAAATTTCCCCAGCATAGGACATCTCACTTAGCTGGAATTTTGGTTCTTCCATGAGTATTTTTAGGCTGAAGTGGGCTTTCTCATCCTTATGGGCTTGTTTTATTCTGTGTAGTTCTGAAGATTGTGTTAAAAAAACAGAAAAAGGAAAAATCTTGCTTAGTAAAGGAAAAGGGACATAAAGAAGATACATGGGCAGGAACAAAGACAGATGGAGACAGGAAAACAAATCAGGATGTATTTCAGCCTGACTACCTGATGAAGGTTGTCAGGGGTCTTCAGTAACTTGGATTAAATTTCTTAAGTCTTTGTGTGTCCATATCAGGCTTCACCATAGTATCCTCCAGGAATCTGTTTCAGTTCTTCTCTCCTAATTTCAAAGCAAACAAAAAAAAAAAAAGGTGGCCGGAATGACCTGTCATCCTTTTAGTCTCCATATTAGCCTAATTTCTGCTGCATCCAATTTTAGTCCCTTGATTTGCAGTTCAACCACAGTCTTTAAATGTCATCTTCAAATTGTTTTAAAAATACTGCTGAGCGAATTGCAGTCTTTTTGAAGTCTTCTCATCCATATAAATGAATAGGATATGCAGTAGTAAGTAATGAAAAAATAATTGTCTTACTTTCCAAGATGGAACACATTTGGTGTTGCATTTTAGTCTGAAACTTTGTAGTGCTATACCAACATTTTCTAGACTTTAAAAAAGCTTTGGTAATAATCTTCAGCCTCAAGGATAGATCAAGGTTTGTGCTTATCTGGTCTGAACAAGCCATCCCATTTCCATTTGGTACCCATCAGGTCTTAGGAAAAAACAGAGTATTCAGGAAAAATATAAACCAACAACCTATTGTATATTTCTGAATGCTACTTAACCATTTTTCTTTCTTGTAACTGGTAATATTTGGACCTGTTCAAAGTTGGTACTTTTGTGCAAACTCAGGATATTTT